ATGCCAGCCTGTTCAAGAAGATCCTGCTGGGCCTGTTCTGTTTGGGTGAGGTGTTGAGAATTCCTGTAAGCAAGAGACACCTTGTTTTAGGAATGTGACCTTGTGTCAAGATGTTTCTAAATGGGATACAATTTTATTCACAAACTGACCTTTTTAATGTGATGTATAGATCTGAATTATTTATAAGTAAATAATCTGAACTATGTTTAGAAATAAGTAAAATCTGAGCATAAACTATTTTTCAAAATTATTTAACAGACTTAAATATTTCAGAGAAACTGGGCATGTGTCTGTTTTATTATCTTTTTCTTTAAAATATATTTTATTAATTTTGTACAGAGAGGAAGGGAGAGAGATAGAGAGTTAGAAACATCGATGAGAGAGAGTCATCGATCAGCTGCCTCTTGCACACCCCCCACTGGGGATGTGCCCACAACCAAGGTACATGCCCTTGACTGGAATCGAACCCAGGACCTTTCAGTCCACAGGCCGATGCTCTATCCACTGTGCCAAACTGGTCCCGGTTGTTTCAGTATCTTGATTCAATGTAGGGCATGGTCTTTATAGTCTTTATAAGAGAAACCTGTAGTATACATTACTTATTTGCTAGTAAGATCAATGATATAAAATATTTAAAAATATATTTTATTGACTTTTTTTTTTTTTTTTTTTTTTACAGAGAGGGAGAGGGATAGAGCGTTAGAAACATCAATAAGAGAGAAATATCGCCAAGACTGGTTTGGCTCAGTGGATAGAGAATCAGCCTGCGGACTGAAAGGTCCAGGGTTCGATTCCGGTCAAGGGCATGTACCTTGGTTGTGGGCACAACTCCTGTAGGGGTGGTGCAAGAGGCAGCTGATCAATGATTCTCTCTCATCGATGTTTCTAACTCTCTATCCCTCTCTCTTCCTCTCTGTAAAAAATCAATAAAATATATTTAAAATAAAATAAAATGTGCAACTCAATGGTAAAGAGAAAGAGAGAAAGAGAGAGAGAGAAAGAGAGAAAGAGAGAGAGAGAAAGAGAGAGAGAGAGAGAGAAATATCAATCAGCTGCCTCCTGTATACCCCAATTGGGGATGTGCCCATAACTAAGGTACATGTCCTTGACCAGAATTGAACCTGAGACCCTTTAGTCTGCAGGCCGATGCTCTATCCACTGAGCCAAACCGGCTAGGGCAAAATATTTTTTAAAACAGCAAACCTCTTTTTAATATATATTGTCAGTGATGTATGGGATTTTGATGTCAATATTAGAGGCAGCTAGGATGAGGTGAACGAAAATTATATTTGGGGGTCAGTCAAGGAGCTTTGGGATGAGGACTGTATAGTAAGTTCTCATTTAACATTGTCAATGGGTTCTGTCACTTTCAGTGGTGGGATGTATAATGAACCAATTAAACCAGAGGCTAATTGATATAAACAAGAGTTAAGTTTCAATGGCATCTTACCAATCTTATAATGAAAGACATATTTCGAGGACCTGATATTCTTCCTAGTGTTCATATGGTTTTGCTCAAGAGGAAAGGTTAAAAGCTTTAGAAAAGACGACTTTTGAAATGTTTAACGGTGGATGCTGATCAAATGCACTCCAAATTTACTCTGAAAAAAGGATATCAGAATAAATCCAAGGGAGTTAATGAAAGATAAGTGAAAAGGTGCAAGATTCAAACTAAGTCGGACTCTCCCTGTGTATCCTCAAGAAGAAACCAGCCATCCAGCCTGGCCTTGAGAACTGTGGCTCCGTTTGAGGCTGGAGGGTTTTTCTTGCTTTAAGTCCCAGACATTCGTGGCTAGAGCTTCATTTGCCCCTGGGGAGCTCTGACTTGTTGGTCCTTACTCTGCCCCTTCTCCTTTTAGCTTATGCTGCCTACTTCCTGGCAGCCTGCATCTTGGATTTCCAGAGGGCACTGGCCCTGTTCGTCCTCACCTGCCTGGTGCTCTTGGTCCTGGTTCACCGAGCTCTGAAAAGGTTGTTTGGTAAAACATTAACCAAATGTCTGAAGCCCTTTGAAAACTCCTGCCTGAAGCGTTGGATGAAATGGTGAGTTAAGAATCTCAGTATCCCTGGTCGCTCAAACTTGTCCCCCTTTCTTCTCTGACAGTTCCTGAGCTGCCTCTCAGACCCGCACCTACACTGTTCAAAGTCAATGCTCAGAGAGCAAATAGCAACAGGCCTCTGGGCACTGGACTTCCATCCAGTTTCTTGCAGCCTCGTGTATCAACGTTGCTAGGGGGCAGGAAGGGTTAAGTTTCAGAGAGGAGTTTCCATCCATTTATTGTCAGGGTTCATGACATAAATAAGGAAAACCATACTTTTCTGCGATGAAGTAATCAAAATAAGGAGGCTTCTAGCTGCATTAAGCTACCGAATTGATTTGGTGCTCATATGTGTCTCCCTTAATTTCCTGATACTTTTTTTTTTCTAGTCCCCTAGACTTCTCACGCCCCACCAGGGTCTTTTACAGTTCCTTAGAGCTTAACCGGCAAACTTACTGTTTCAATAAATGCTGGACTGAATTTTATAGCAGCCATAGTTCATCTAACTATGATATATAGCATACACAGGTTCTTTGAACACAGGCCTGGAGTGACAGAATAACTTTTAGACTCTATAGAGAGTTCCTGTCTTTTGCCTATTCTCCAACGGACACATAGAGAATGGAGTTAAGAATGTTTGCAACAGCAATTATTTGGAGAAACACATCAGACTGCAACCTAAATTTTGGATCACTGATTTGACACTGAGGAGACAATGCTAAAATGACACTATCCATTAGCAGGATAGATTCTAGAAGCCAGATTTTATTCACTTTAAGCGAGAAGAGTTCACAGTAAGAACAGCTCCACAATTCATCCCTGCCTTGTTATCCTTGTTGTTGTTCCTGAGGCATCTCAATGGACTAAGTACTCTTTTTGTTTTGCTTTCTTTTCATAAGTCTCTCCCTTCTAATTCTTTCCCCTGGAATTGAAATGACACCAACACTGAGACGTGAGGAAACCAGTCTGTTTATTAACCCAACATGTCTGGTGCATCAAGGGACCATAAGACCATAGGGGTTGGTTTGTGGCTTAGCCTTTACTCTTGCCCTCGGAGTGGTTGGAAATTGCCTGAAGATTCATGAGGAGGACCATGCATACTTTTCTTTCTTTTAAAAATACTTTGGTTTTTCATTAGTGCAAGCTTAAAGAATGAGTCTTTATATCACATCTTACTGATATGGAAGCTTGAGGAAAGGAACTCAGGTTGGACTCTTTCAGCTTCATTCTGTGAGTATAAGGATTGGAGAGAGAGCTGCTCACTAGGAAACTGCCAGATGAATGATTCTCAAGAGATATCTTTGTGTCTAGTCTATTGAGTTATTTCATTTACCCTTGGGGTGAACTTCTGTTTTTTAGAGGGAAGGTTAATTATCTGTTATTCATTCACTGAGTTGATGACATGGTATTGGCATTCCCTCTTCAGGGTGTTCGCTGGAGTCGCCTTGGTTGGCCTCATCCTGTGGCTAGCTCTAGACACAGCCCAAAGGCCAGAGCAGCTGATGTCCTTTGCAGGAATCTGCATGTTCATCCTCATCCTCTTTGCCTGCTCCAAACACCACAGTGCAGTGAGTTTGGGGTATTTAGGGTGGGCCAAGGGCTGTGTGTTTCTGATTACAAGGTACATGTGTCAAGTATTGATTACAAAGACATGGAACTAAGCTCTTTAGAACCTCTGGAATTTTTTTTTTAATGATTTTGCTCCTAAGGCAAGTTTTAAAGTTCTCAGAGGCTGTAGACTACTTATTTTCTTTTTTTTCCTATTAAATTATTATCTGTGTACATATTTTAACATTGCCCCCCCTTACATACCCCCCTCCCCAGAGTTTTGTGTCCATTGGTTGTACTTATATGCATGTATACATTGACCACTTATTTTCAAATGGTAGGCTATAATACATTAATGAGCCTTGATATCAAATTAGTGGATTTAAGCTAGTGTTAAAGAAAGAACAAAAAAAAAAAAAGTAAAGAAAGAAAAAAAAGAGAATACAATAAAGAATCGACTTGCATTGCACATAGGAATATCAAAGTATTGGTTATGATGCATTTATTTGTATACTAGAGGCCCGGTGCACAAAATTGTGCACTGGGGTGGGGGAAGGGATCCCTCAGCCTGGCCTGTGCCCTCAGTTGGACATCCATAGCGCTGCTGCAGAGGCGGGAGAGGCTCCCACCAATGCCCTGGCTTATGGCTGAGTGGCACTCCCCTGTGGGAGTGCATTGACCCCCAAGGGGCAGCTCCTGCAGATCAAAGTGATCAGTTGTTCTGCCATTCAGTCTATTTGTATATTAGCCTTTTATTATATAGGATTATTATATAGGATATGTATGTATGCATGTATGTCATCTAACCTGTAGACACAGTTTTAAAAACCGTATGGACATATGTGGCTCTTTAGATATTATCCCGCTCTGTTTTCCCCTGCTCCCTACTCCATCTTACCCTAGATTTCTTGTTAACATCCTGGTTGGTTTCATCCAGTACCATGAATACATGTTTAAAACTTCAACCAGATAATGGACAAGTAGGGTTTAGGACTCACATAGGAATAACGTGGGTTCTTATTGGTCGCAGGTGTCCTGGAGGACGGTGCTTTGGGGCCTGGGTCTTCAGTTTGTCTTTGGGATCTTGGTCATCAGAACTGATCCTGGATTTAATGCATTTCAATGGCTGGGAGACCAGGTTCAGGTATGAGAAATTGAATGTGAGGGCTCTGCTCTTTTAGAGAAAGGAGATCTGAGTGGGGAGGGGGGATACTTGCAGAGATTGGACTATGTCTTATTAATGATAGTGATGAGAGATCTGGTGGGGGGGGGGAAAGAGTATATACAATAAAGGGTATAATTAATCATATGAATAAAGAACTGTGAGAGATACATTCACTAACAGAAGTAAGACCTAATTATGCCTGAGTCTGATCGAATGTTCCTCTGTGTCCTACCTGGCTTCACTCTGTTCACTCTCTCCCTCTCTCTCCCTTTTCTTTCAGATTTTCCTGAGCTACACAGTGGCTGGCTCCAGTTTTGTCTTTGGGGAAACGCTGGTCAAGGATGTCTTTGCTTTTCAGGTCATTATCTCTTTTGTAGGCAGGAATGAGGGTCCGGGTGGGGAGAGGTGTAAAGCAGAGGATAAAAATGTGTGCCCAAAAGATCAGCCAGTCTACATACCAATTTGACCCTAAGACAAGGATCTGTCCCCATCAGTAGAAGGAACAGCATCAATCTCCTGCCCTTTGGTCATTACCATACTGACTGGAGTAAAATAGGAGTGGGGGAGGAGGGCTCCTTGTGACCTGGTACTAATGGGATAACAGATATAATATATTTAAATTTATTCCTAAGCTAGCTTGTGTTAAAAAGATCCACTGAGTATCTATACTGTGCCAGCTGCTCTTGGAAGACCTTGAGTTAATTTAGAGGCCTGAAACACAGTCCATCTATGGCATATGGGAGCACATTTGTACAGTAGTCCCCCTTACCTGTGAGGGATACATTCCAAGATTCCCCCTAACCCCCAGTGGATGCCTGAAACCAGATATTACCAAACCCTATAAATATTGTTTTTCCCCCTCTACAGACATACCTTTGATAAAGTTTAATTTATAAATTAGGCAATTTCACAGATAGAAGATTCGTCCTTACCACAGATCTTAGCAACCTTACCATATGATTTTTTTTCTTCTTTTTGTACTGAGAACTTTTACTTTTTCTCTTAAAGGAAGCACTTTATGAATTACCAGCATCACTACTCTGGTGCTTTGGGGCCATTAAATAAAATAAGGGTTACTTGAACACAAGCACCTGAAATACTGTGACAGTGGATCTGATAACCTAGACAGGTACTAAGTGACTAATGGGCTGGTGGCTAGTGTAAACAGTGTACACACTAGATAAAGGGATGATTCCTGTCCCAGTCGGGACAGATCAGGACAGTACGAGATTCTCTCATGATACTCACAATGGTGCACAATTTAAAACCTATGAACTGTTTATTTCTTAGATTTTCCATAACCTATTTTCTGACCACGGTTGATGATGGGTAACCACAGAAAGTGAAACCACGGATAAGGGGGGTGGGTGTCTATTGTAATATCTCATTATTAGCCCATCATTCTCATTTTAGTCCTTACCGATCATCATTTACTTTGGATGTGTGATGTCCATTCTCTACTACCTGGGCCTTGTGCAGTGGATAGTTCAGAAGGTGAGTCATTCTCCTACACCACTCAGGAGTTGGGGGGGGGGGGGCTTTTATCTTGTGATCTGTCAAGAAGCATGAATATGACACTCACTTTGGGAAAATGTAGGATCTAGATGTTAGAACCAGTGTGAAAAGGCAAACTCAAGCATGCCTGATGTTGGATGGTCAGGCCCAGGCTCTAGGTAGGCTGAAGAGTAGAGCAGGAAGAGAAAAATGGGCTGGACTGCCATTTCATACTGAGTTTTAGTCTATTAGTTCTGGAAGCCAAGAGTCCTGAGTTCTGGTCCAGGCTCTGTAATTTGCTTTGTGGCCTTGGGCTTATCACTCCACTTCTCCGGGCTTTAGTTTCCTTACCAGTATGGAGAAGGGAATGGGGGTTGTGGGGAGGCTTACTACAATAGATACTCACCAAGATTTCCACTAATATTAACGGTTTAGGTCTTTGTATCCCTTTAGGTTGCCTGGTTCTTACAAATTACCATGGGCACCACCGCCACAGAGACCCTAGCTGTGGCAGGAAACATCTTTGTGGGTATGGTAAGTACTCTGAGGCCTTCATTTTTTTCCCCCCTGGGGAATACACGATGTGGCAGAAAACAGGTTGAGAAAAGTATGTTTTCCATCTGAAAAGTCAAGTAAATGAGATGTATGGGCAGTTTATCACTGATGAAAGAAAAACTCAGAAGTTCAAAAGAAACTCAGCTTACTGCTTTTACCCTTCATCTGTAATACAACTACTTGCCTGGGTATACTTAGTTTGGACATCCTTAACCACTGATCCAACTTTTTAAAAAATATATATTTTATTGATTTTTTACAGAGAGGAAGGAAGAGGGATAAAGAGTTAGAAACATCGATGAGAGAGAAACATCGACTAGCTGCCTCCTGAACACACCTCACCGGGGATTTGCCCGCAACCAATGTACATGCCCTTCACTGGAATCGAACCTGTGACCTTTCAGCCCTCAGACTGACGCTCTATCCACTGAGCCAAACTGGTTTCAGCTTAACAAGTACTTTTAAAGCTACTAATATGTTCTCAGGAAATACACTGTATTTCATAAGATCATTCATTAAGTACAACAGGTCCTCAAATAATGTATGGACAAAAAATATTTTGTTTAATTTTATTTCAATATAAAGTTGATAAGATGCCATAGGAACTTAACTCTTGTTTATATCAATTAGTCTATGGTAAAATTGGTTTCATTATACAGTCACAGAACATATCAACATTAAGTGAGGACTTACTATAGCTGATTTTAGCTATGGAGAAAAAAATATTCCCTTTCCATAGCACTTTAGAATTTACATAAATATGATAAACATGTATGAAAATCAATGATAACAGTACCAACCAGGATATGATTAGATGCCAGAGAGAGGGAGGCAGATGCTGGGAGGGCCTAAAAGCAGAGCTCTGTCCTGGAAGGGCATTCACACTAGAGGGATGTGTCTCTGGGCTGGGTGGGCACTCTGGGGTGGAGAGTCACATCCTCTTGAATCTGACTCGCTTCTCCCGTTCACAGACAGAGGCCCCTCTGCTCATCCGTCCATACCTTGCGGACATGACACTCTCTGAAGTCCATGCAGTGATGACTGGAGGGTTTGCCACCATTTCAGGCACTGTGTTGGGAGCCTTCATCTCCTTTGGGGTAGGCATACTCTTTTTGATCACTCCTGGGTGAACCCACGTTTGGGTTCTGCAGACTCTGATCCCTATGTCTGGCCTTACAGATTGAAGCATCATCCTTGATTTCTGCGTCTGTGATGGCTGCCCCATCTGCCCTTGCCTTGTCAAAGTTGGTCTATCCAGAAGTGGAGGAATCCAAGTTCAAGAATAAGGAGGGAGTAAAATTGCCCCGTGGGTGAGTCCAATGAGGCATATAAATTGGGAGACGCTGAGGTCAGGTGCAGAGTCAGGAGTAGTGCTGCGGTGGCAGAGGCTTCACGTCTCCTAAAGGAGGGATAATCTGATTCTGTATCCTCTCTTGTCTACCTCTACCTCTAGCTGATCATGTAGATTTTATTTGTTTAACCCTCCATCTGCCTCGGTCTTCTGCAGACCAGTATTCTCTGTCCTAGGTGTCAGTGCAATTTCATGGCAATTAAACCTGGTACTGCTTCAGTATAATTTCCACCGCAGGGGTCACTGAGGAACCCCATCTCCTCTTAAGCTGGTCTTGCACCTTCCTCCTGTACTCCTGCGCCACAGGAAAAGTGGGATTTCTCTTCTGTGAGAGACTGAGACTAATCCAGACACCATATTCTTCTCCTATGCCCAATAACCACAGGAAGGAGTCAAATATCCTGGAAGCTGCCAGCAATGGAGCCACAGATGCCATAGGCCTTGCTACTAATGTAGCAGCCAACCTGATTGCCTTCTTGGCCGTGCTGGCCTTCGTCAATGCTGCCCTTTCCTGGCTAGGGGAATTGGTAGACATACAGGGGCTCACTTTCCAGGTAAAGAGTTACATTTGTTGTGCTGTCCCTGTAGGTTGTATTTAAGTGGTCCTGGAACTGTGAGCGCTCTCCTGACCCACAGTGAGCTAAAACAGAGCAAGGATAGAAGGGTGGAGGAGACTAAGTTAAGGCTCCAGAGAAAGTCCTTGGGTCCTGACCTGTGTTGCTTGTTCTTTCTTTTCATCTAGGTGATTTGCTCCTACGTCCTAAGGCCTATGGTTTTCATGATGGGTGTAGAGTGGGCAGATTGTCCAATGGTGGCTGAGATGGTGGGGATCAAATTCTTCACAAATGAGTTTGTGGCCTATCAGCAACTGTCTCAATACAGGAACAAACGTCTTTCCGGAATGGAAGAGTGGATCGGGGGCGAGAAACAATGGATTTCTGTAGGTAGCAATTCAGAAGAGCACAAATCATTTGTGGGCAGACAGAAAGTGTTACACAAATTTGTTTCACACCCATGCATCCCTTTCCAGTGTCCCGGGCCTAAACCACAAAGCAAGCATAACAATATGCTTAGCTCCTGAGGTCTGTGTGCTATTCCTCCCCTGCACTCTGACCCAACTTCTCTCTATAATGTAATTTACAGTTGGGGAAGTTCAGGGTAGACACTATTTTTGATGGCCTAAGATCCCCTTCTTCATGTATAAGTTTAAATGCTATAAATTGATCTCCTTTTCTCTCTCCCCGTATCTCAATCATCCTCATTCTTAGGCCTTCTCCATACTCATGGACTTGAACAAGAAGAGTGCTGGGCAAAGAGGCCCATTGTGGTTGCCATAACATTATTCCTGTAATAACTCAGGAAGTGATTATTTTCTGAGCATCTTTTCCATATTCTTTAGGGTAATGTGGAAAAGATTGGGGGCTCTATGATCTTTGGAACTTCTATCATGATTATATGACTACACAATATGGGACTGAATTTATTTACTTATTTACATGTGATTTTCCTAGGTGAGAGCTGAAACCATTACAACATTTTCACTCTGTGGATTTGCCAATCTTAGTTCCATAGGAATCACACTGGGAGGCCTGAGTGAGTCTTTTCATTTTTCCAGCTACCCAATAAGCCAGATAGACCCTAGCTTCTGTAGTAGGCAGTCTGGTGCTTCAGTACAAGTAGAGACCAGATAGAGAAGCTGGTGCGAAATGGGCCCTAATTGGCACAGATAATTTGGAGTTAAGGTAGCTATGTGCCTGGCTATGCATGGAGCCCAGGCTAGATTTACAATCTCTATTTCTGTTACTCTTTTTCCATTCCATTGGAGGCTCAAAAGACTTATTTGACTTTTATTTTCCCTTTGAGGAAGATTATCATGATATTACTTTTATCGGGTCTAGTAATAATTAATGTCGTTTTTAACATTCGTTTAAAATCTTGCTTGGCGTTGACTTGTATTGACATAACCTTCAAACACGTGGTATCTACAGAACGTGTGAAGTGCAATTAACAAGTTTTGCTTGAAAAAGTTTGTATTTGGTTTGGTTTATGTTGCAAAACTAGGGCTAAGAAGATGGCGGATGAAGAGCATATTCGGCACTGCATGCTTTACGAGTTCCAATTAGGAAGAAAAGCAAGTGAGGCTGCAAAAAACATCTGTAGTGTTCTTGGTCAAGATGCAGTTAGCACCAGAAAATGCCAGCGTTGGTTTGAGAAATTTCGCGAGGGAAATTTTTCGTTAGATGACAAGAGTGGTCGAGGCCGTGTGTCCAATTTTGATCAAGAAGCTCTTCAAGCTCTTTTGGTGCAAAATCCTCAAATTACCCAACAAGAGCTTGCAACAACTTTAAATTGTTTACAAAAATCAATTTCCAATCAATTGCGTGCACTTGGCAAAGTCCAAAAGTTTGGAAAATAGGTTCCTCATGAGTTGACCGACAACAACCGTAATCAAAGAGTCACAATTTGCAGTTCGCTCCTCTCTCGTCAAAACCGTTTGCCGTTTTTAGAGCAAATTGTTACTAGAGATGAAAAATGGGTGCTGTATGTTAATTTGAAAAGGCGGCCTCAATGGTTGGACAAAAATGAGGCTCCGCAGCCCACGCCAAAACCTGACTTGCATGCGAAAAAAGTGATGTTGTGTGTTTGGTGGAATTTTAAAGGAATTCTTCATTATGAACTTTTACCATCTACCCAAACCATTACAAGTGCAGTGTATAGTGCCCAATTGGAAACGTTAGCCCAAGCTTTAAGAGAAAAAGAACCCGCGCTGATTAAT